GTTTTAGCATAATATAATGGATAAGAAAGCTTTATTTAAAATCAGAATGATAATCACTGTGTATCCTGTTTGAAAATGTTACCCATTCATGCATTCATGTTTCTCCCACAGAGTTCTTCTGTGGAAATCTGGCTGTGACCATGGGTTCTTGGACCAATGTAGATTAGGAGGATGGGGCTCCAGCTCTGGTTACAGCTGGTGATGATCTGTGATCAAGCTTTATATGTTTTTTTGTTGATTTGTCTTGGTTCTTTGTACAGTAGGTCTGTGAGCTATACAGGTAGTCCTTGACTTATAACCACAATTGAGCCCAAAATTTCTATTGCTAAGCAACACAATTGTTAACTGAGTCTCACACCATTTTACAACCTTTTTTTGCCATGGGTGTTAAGTGAATCACTGCAGTGAAGTGAATCATGTGGTTGTTAAGCAAATCTTGCTCTCCCCGTTGTTTTTGCTAGTTAGAATTAGCCAGGCATTTAGGCATTGATCCACCTATCAAGTTATTCTCTAATAATGTGATCAGAGATAGGTGGAATAATATTATAATAGCACTTATGCTTATATACCGCTTCATAGTTATTTAGAGCCTTCTCTAAGCATTTTACAGCATGTTGCCTCCAACAATCTACTGGTAATAATATTCCTGATCAATCACAGTTGGGGCAATCATGGGAATTTAGAGTCTATAACTCTATTCAGGTATTTTGCACACCCTATATTTTGATGCATTAGAAATTGCAGCTATGAGATGCATAAAATAAGCTATACTCTAATTTATTTGATTAGATAAAACCATTTAAGGACTTACAGGGAATTCTAAAGAAGGACGCTGTTTATTAAGGTTACATAATATAGAACCTTGGATGAGGGAAAATTAATTAATGTAAGCCCAAGAAGACAAAGTGTTATTATTATTTTAATTACAGAAGAAATAATATATCCATGGAGAAAGCCTTGGTAAAATGACAATGTATGGTGCTATCTCCCACGTGCAACAGCATCACTGGTAGGTTTGTTTAGAGCCCTTTGAGTGACAATCACCTCCTTGTCAGCTCTATATAAAAGGTGCCCCAAGTTCTTTCTCCTTTCATTGCTGCAGAAGCTACAACATAAATGTGGGAATTATTTGTAGGAAAGACAGATGGAATCAAAGTTATAAAAGCATCTTATTATTTGTGTTCACATTTTTCTTTTTATTCAATACTCATTTTTTAGTGCAGCTTAAATCATATAATAAAAATGAATCCAAACAATATAAGCTACTGTCAGCAGAGCAGTACAATCACAAATGCTCTTGTTCAAGCCAAAATTAGCTGCTGATATTATTACGTGCACAACAAAGTAAAATCATTATTAATATTATTATTTGATACATGCGTTTTATGGAGAGAAGTTAGATTACCTGGGAAACAGTCCACTAAGGTGGACATTGCTACTTGCTGAACAGAATAACAGAGTTGCAAGGGACCTTGAAGGTCTTCTAGATCAGTGTTTTTCAACCTTTTTTGTGCAAAGGCACACTTTTTTTCATGAAAAAAATCACGAGGCACACCACCATTAGAAAATGTTAAAAAAATTTAACTGTGCCTATAGTGACTATATATAAAGTAATTTTCCCACGGCACACCTTACACTATGTCACGGCACACTAGTGTGCCACGGCACAGTGGTTGAAAAACACTGTTCTAGATCCTATGTACCATTCCAGGAGGAGCTGCTCTGTGAGGGGATCCTGCTCCAGATTAGTCTCCTGCTTGTTTGTTCCTCCTCCTTCAATAACTACATCACTAGCTACAAGTCATTTCATTTATTAGCAAAAATAACTTTCATTTAATTTAACAACATCCTCACTGTGATTATACACTTCTTTTGCGTGATATATAAGTGGGGAAACATGCTGTTACAGCATGTATATGCCCCACATACAATAGCTTGAGATAAGGAGCAAATATACTGGTATATATTTTTTGCACAATTTTTTTTTGTTACAAACTTCAAAGCCTCTTTACAAACAGAGTGTTGACTGGGTTTTTTTCCACCTCTTTACATTTTCTCTTATGCATAATTAATTTCACATCACATCATTTCTAATTTTGGCCCCACATTTTTTTCTCCAAATTATCATCTTATTTTTTATTTTTCTTAACAAATAAACGTAATCATTTTTTGCCCTTCCACGAATAATATATCAAGTAGCAAATATATATTGATTGCATAGCAATTGATGGCTACTTAACAATAGCAGGAACTAACCTTATCCAGGAAGCAGCAAACAGTCAGCTGTAGACATTGGCTGTGGATACAAGATGAATGGAACCATAAAGAATAATAGTTGAATGAAGTTAGGAAGAACATTTTGCATAAGTTTTAAGTTGACAGGTCATCCATCCTGACCCCACTTCTTGTTTGAAGCATGGAAATAGCAATTGTCTCATTATATTATTATGAGAATATTACCCAGGATCTTTCTGGGGGTACTTACAAGCAGAGAAGTCCTTGTCATGAAATCTCAGTTGCTCTCCAGGCATAAGTATGAGCAAGAAATCCCCTCCTTATCTCTTTTTCTTTTTATCCCTTCCTAGCTGGCAGGATTTAAACCACACTGCCCCTGACACTGCTTAGAAATATGACCTCGCTTGCTAAATCTTTGTGACAAACAAGACATTAAATCCTATACAGCATAATGCTTAGGAGAAGGTTTATTAAGGGGTCTTATCCAATGTTCCCTCTAATTTTTTTTCAGTGTGTGCGGGAAAAGTATAGTGTTTGAGCGGCACATTTTCATGTCTGAGCACCTGAATTTTT